GCCCTGCGTCCCCCCGCTGCATCCCCAGTGATGCCCCTTCAGACCCACAGCCCCGGGCAGCCCAACCAGCCGCCCCCCATGATGCTCCACCAGAAGCAGAACCGCATCACTCCCATCCAGAAGCCCCGCGGGCTGGACCCGGTGGAGATCCTGCAGGAGAGAGAGTACAGGTGGGGGGCGTCCTAAACACAAGAGTATAGTAGCTTTAATGTTCACCAGAGAGGGTACAAGTACACACATCCTGTACTCAAGTAGAAGTACAGATACTCGTGTTTAAAAATACTCTGGTAAAAGTAGAAGTACTGACTAAACTTCTTTACTCAAGTCAAAGTAAAGAGGGCTTTGAAATGTACTTCAGTAAAAAGTACCCATAACTAGCAGCTGTTTTAAAGAGTACCTGACCTCCCTTTATATTAATAGAACAATAATGTCATTGTTAGCTAATGAATGTTTCCATGCTGCCTATCCCTTTATATTAATAGAACAAATGTCATTGTTAGCTAATGAATGTTTCCATGCTGAACAACGGCAACATGACAACGTTTTCATTGGTCCCTCTTCTTTAGAGAAGACCAGGAAATGATGGATACACGGATCGTGTTCAAATCAATAGGCACGCAATGACTCTAAATAATAATGATCACGCCACCAAACACACATTCAGACTAAAGGAACCAGCCTGTTTGGAAAATGAGAGAAGTAGAAAGTACAGGTATTTGTGTTCAACGTGTAAGAAGTCGTCAGAAAAATAAGTAGTGGAGTAAAGTACTGATACCAGAGAAAACTACTTAAGTACAGTAACAAAGTATTTGTACTCCTTTACTTCCCACCTCTGCTGTGCATCGTATGTTTGAGTGTGTCGCTGAAACCTTTAACGTATTCTCCAGGCTTCAGGCTCGCATTGCTCACCGGATCCAGGAGCTGGAGAACCTTCCGGGTTCTCTGGCCGGAGATCTGAGAACCAAAGCCACCATCGAGCTGAAGGCCCTGAGGCTGCTCAACTTCCAGAGACAGGTACACATTCAGGAAACGCTCAAATATAGATTACATTTAACCTGTCATTGTGTTCCTAGTAGAATAAATAAAGGGTTAATAATGTCCACCTTTTTCCACCTGACTTCATAAATATCTAATTAAAACTAAAACACCACTCTATATATTGTTATATTTTATACATGTCGTATTTTGTAGTACAATGTGGACATTATGTATAAATGTTATATTTAATTTAATCTTGTATTTACTGTAACTATTTATTGAACATTTGATTCTGTCAAAGTGACATTTATGATCCTATTTTATTTAACCAAAAATATGTTTGTATAAATTATTGAAACTTTTTATTTCACCTTCTTACTTTAACTTCTTTGTGTTCATTATGTATTCCATTTTGTTTATTTTATTTTATTGGACATTATTACTTTTACTTCTGATGGTTCCATTTTTTAAATTTATTATTCATTGTTTTAAATGTCATTCTAAAATTACGAAAATGTAAAAATATATATATTTCCCGTGGAATAAGTAACACTCCTGACCCTGGTGTTGTTGTCCTGCAGCTGCGCCAGGAGGTGGTGGTCTGCATGCGTCGGGACACGGCGCTGGAAACCGCTCTGAACGCTAAAGCCTACAAACGCAGCAAACGGCAGTCTCTGCGTGAAGCTCGCATCACCGAGAAGCTGGAGAAACAGCAGAAGATCGAACAGGAACGCAAACGCCGGCAGAAACACCAGGTACAAAACAAAACACTCAACTGAGAGGGAAACAATATGTCAGCGCATGTGACAGCCGAAGAGACAGCAACAACAAAACACAATGACACACACCAGCTGTTCATCTCCTCGCAGCTGATGACATTTGATACTTGCGGTTTTGTAATAATATATTGTTGTAAATTGTTTCTTTATTGAATTTTATTCTCAAAGTCAACTTTAATGTCAATATTTCTGTGTGATTGTAAAGCAAGGCTAGTTTATTTCTACAGCACATTTCAACACAAGGCAATTCAAAGTGCTTTACAAAAATGCAAGACATGAATAGCATTTAAGAAACATATTATGAAATGATATCTAAAAACACTTAAACAATTTAAAAGCAAAAACACATGAATCACAGTTACAGAGCAGTGTGAGATACACACATCTGAACGAACCCCCCTTTGGAACATTATAATCTGACCCCATGGTAGCTTTTTAGTTTTTGCCGAAACTATTCCTTTTAATTCACTTCAGAAACACTTCTATATTTCTATATTCCATGGAATGCTCTTAACATCCCGATAGCAATGAATACATTAAATGCTTTGACAAGAAATCCATAAACAAATATCATCTGTGGAAGCCGTGGCGCTGTAAAAAGCACGACCAATCATCTGAGCCGGCCCGGCTAAAGTAACTGGATGGCCTACCTGCCTGTCAGCCTTCCATCTGTGCACAAACTGATCTCGTGCCCTCATTGGTCATGTGCGCGTTCATGTGTGTTGGAGGAGGGGCTCTATAAGGAAGTGGCAGATTTGTTCCGGTTGTGTATTTTCA